GCGCACCCGCGTGAGCTCCTCACACTCACACCGCTCTGCCCAGGCTGGACTGGGTGCGCACCCGCGTGAGCTCCTCACACTCACACTGCTCTGCCCAGGCTGTACTGGGTGCGCACCCACGTGAGCTCCTTACACTCACACCGCTCTGCCCAGGCTGGACTGGGTGCGCACCCGCGTAAGCTCCTCACACTCACACCGCTCTCAGGTGTGGGACAGAAGCTCAGGCGGCGCTGAGCACAGAGTGCATGAGTGTGATGGTGGACGTGCACACGAGGTGAGGGAGGGGACGCAGCTGGACACCGGACAGCTCCATCCAGGATGGGCACCAGGCACGGGGACGCCGCAGGCTGGGTCCGGCTGTCCTTGCTTCCTCTCCTGCACAGTGACTAAGGCCCCGGGAAGGCCCCGACCGCCGATCAGCACGTCCCTCCTGGATGCCAGCTGTCACCTCCAGGTGCGTGACTGAAGCTGGTCTAGCTGGGGGAGACTCCAGGGCTCTCTGGCTGCAGTGGGATGTGCTCTCTCCCTCGGACGTCTCCGTGACAGTCCCCAGCCCCAGGGTGCCAGGGACCCAGAGAAAGAGTTGAATACGGGGAAGAACCCAGGCTTTTGATGACACCACTGAGCTACTGAAGCAAACGGACCCTGAGCCCAGCCACGGCTCTGGGCCCAGTGACAAGAGCCAATGAACCCACTGGATCAGGTTCTTGTGCACTCGACCCAGGAGGTGTGACAGCCTGAACCCCACGGGACTTCACTGGGGCGCTGCGCCTGGGCCACGGGTCAGCACCTACAGTGCTCTTGCACTGCTTGGAACAGGTGCCAAGCAGCTGTCTGTGCATTTTTATGGAGGACAACAAGGGCCAGAAGGCAGCCGGAGGGGGGAGACCACAGGTGACAGGGGCCTGACGTACCTCATGTTTGCATTGCTGCCCCAGCCCGGGGTCCGCCTCTCCCTCCTAGATGCTAGGAGAAGGGCTGGCTCGTGCGCCCACAGGTGGGGTCAGTACCTGGTGCAACACAGGCCCCCACAAGCACCCGCTGCAGATGCTGAAACGGTCACCTACGGTGCTCTGCAGAGCCGGGCCCATGGCCGGTGGCGGCTGGTCTGCTGCCGAACACCTCGGAGGAGTCAGGGCACACGACACTGGCTGCTCCGGGAGGAGAGGGTCTGCAAGCTGGTTTTCTGGAACCGTCTCTTCCGGCCGTGGGAGTGAGGGGATGGGCTTTCGGCATCGGGGGCTGCCGGCATGGACCAGGGGCTGGAGGGGCAGATTGAGAGGTCTCTGCACCTGCAGAAGGGAAGGACAGTGCATCTGAGCACCAAGGCCACCAGGGCCACCCCACAGAATGAGCGCAGGAGCCCGGCGGGCAGAGCTCCATGACCCGCACTCAGGTTCCAAGCACACGGCAAGCGCTCAGCTGCTGCCATGGTTACAGGGTGGCACGCCGAGGCCCGGGGTGAGCACAGCAGAGAGCCCATCCACAGGCTGTCTCGGGGAAGCCAGCGGAGGGGGGCCGTGGCTGGACGCCAGCAGTCCTGTGACCAGCGCTGGCACTGCTCCTGAGGTCTGCGGCCAGGTGATCCCTGTCACCCTAACGGGTGGAAGTGACCGGCCGTCACCAAGCTTGGGTGTGGTACCCAGGGCCCAGGCGAGATCTCCTGTCCACGGCAGTCTGACACCAACAGCTGGGGCAGTGGGCAGCCTTGCTCCACTGTTGTGTGGGTGACCTCCTGCCCATGAGGTCTAGTGATCCCAGGCAGGATGCCCTCCTGGAGACCCCGAGGTCCCCTCTCCTGTCCAGGGTATGGGGTTGGAAGACAGGGCAGCTCCCCAACCTTTCTGTGTCCAGGGTCCCTCTCTTCCCCGCCCGAGTCTGTGGCAATCCCGTCGTGGCAGAGGAAGAACCAGCCCGCGCTGAGCACAATGCCCGTCCCCACAGCTGCCCTGACCTCTGGCTCGCCCTGCAGGAGGCCGTGCAGCGCCAGCTGCTCATACACCTGGGCGCGGTAGCGTGCCATCTGCTGCTTCTTCTCCTTGGCGAGGTCGTAGTCCTCCTTCTCCACCGCGCAGCGCTTCTCCACCTCATAGCGCCCCAGGCGCTCGCCGACCTGCAGCACAGCACAGAGCGTGGCCCTGGTTAGCGTCTGCGCCTGCTCTCCCCATGCAGAGATGGTGTGAGCAGGGGCACACCCACCCTGCGCCAGGAGGGCCCTGGAGACAGCCACTTCCCGCTGTGGCCAACCTACTGCTACACCAGCCTTGTGAAGTCAGCACCCCGCCCACAGTGGCGGCAGAGCTCAGGCCATGGGCATCTTTACGGTGCTTGACCTGTGACTTGTGACCCCGGGCTGAACCCACAGCCACAGGAGCCTGTGCCTCTGCAGACCAGACGTCGGGAGCCGTACCTTGTGCAGGTCGGCGATGGCTTGCTTCAGTTTCTTGGCGTGATCGTAGCGCTCCCTCTGGACAGCCTCCCGCTTCCTCTCATCCAACCTGCGGATGATCTGTGCAACCTCGGGGTCTTGGTACATGTCAAAAGCCAGGTCGTCAAGGGGAGAGATGTAGTCAGATTTCCTATGGGGAGAGAGGATGCTCTCAGGGTGAGCTTCCATCGGGGAGAGACCTGAAGAGCCCAGTGCTCAGCCATGCAGAAAACGGCCTGCCACACTCACGGGCTTCCCCTGAGTGGGGCCACAGGAGCTCAGAGAGGGTGGTGCACCAGCAAGCCACAAGGCTCTCAAGGGCCAGCCCTGGTTGGCCGCATGACCGAGGCACTGGCCTGTGCAGTGAGCATGTGCCAGCTCGCAGGGGCAGGTGGGCTGCAGCTCTGGGTGCAGAGCAGGAGGAAATGAGAGAACAGAACAAGGATGACCAGGCCTCACCACATGGCGTGCTGGCGCCACAGTGGGGCCCAGGCACCTGTGTTCGTGATAGCACAGCAGTTAGAATCTGTAATCTCTGCTGTTGGCTGAGGTCGCCTTGTAGGGCCCAACTTTCAACCTAGGTGCAAAGGCACACCTAGAACAGGACACCAGGCTGCTGGGTCCACAGAAGCTTTAACAGGTAACAGGACAAGGCTCGGTCCCAGCTGCCTGTGACAACTGCATGGAGTGAGCCAGGCGTTAGCTGTGAAATGGGTATTTTCATATGTCATTAAGTTTCGTATTCTCTGTCACGAAAATGTCAGCTGACAAACCTAATAATGATCTCGAGTGGGACTCCAGTACACAACACCTTTAACAATCCCCGAACTTCTCTTTTTTTGGAGGTATGTACTACGGACTGAACCTAGGGCCTTGTGTATGCTAGGCAAGAGCTCTACCCAACAGTCTCACTAAACTGCCCAGGCTGGCCTTGAACTTGCAATCATCTTGCCTCAGCCTACAGACAGGCTGGGACTACATGTGAGCCCTACACTCGGCCCCAAGCCTCCTCCTAACTCATCCTCACTTCCTGAATGTGGGGCGCTGTGCTGACAGCCACGGGACTGCGCAGCCTGGCAGCAGAGACAGCTGGGACAGCTTGAGCGCCAGAAGTTCTCCTCAGCGAAGACCGCACGGCCAGCCACACAGCGACAGGCTGTCCGCGTCTCCGTGCACACGGCAGCTTACTGCATTGGGCACCACGCCCGAAGTCCAAGTCCCTTCGCCGTGAGGGCCCAGGGTGAACGGGAACCCGCAGCGGACAGTCCCCTTTCCCGGGCGCTCAGGGCCGCAGGCTTCACACAACCTCGCGGTGGCCTCCCCTGTCCCAGGCAAGGCAGTACTGCACACGGCAGCCTGGCCCTGCCGCAGCGGGGCGCCGGGACAGCGGGCACCTACCCCGTGCACCCAGCGCTTCACGCTGCCACCCGGTGTGTGTGCAGGCAGGCCTAGGGGAGCGGGCACACTGTGCTGTGGGCAACACCGGGGCTGGCAAGCAGCACAGCACCCGATGGTGCCGAGGACCACTCCTGCCCTGCACACAGCTCTGGTGCCCAGTGCTTCCTGTCGGCGCCACCTGCGTGCAGCGGAAAGCGAGGTGCCACGGTGGGGGGCGGCGGCAAAGCCCCAGTCACGATGCGAATACGGTGCCTTTGCTCACGGGAAGGTGCCACAGGACCCCCTCCTCTCTCCAGACCACAGCACCCGGGGCGGTGCCCTCTACTGTGCCACACCGTGAGCCGAAGGGCACACACGGGCACAGTGGACAGGACGGTGCCAGAGATCTGGAGTTCTCCTGCCTGTTTGAAGCAGGGTCTCACTATGAGGGCTAGGGTGGCCTCAAGCTCTCAGCAACCCTCCTGCCTCAGCCTCCCCAGTGCTGGGTGTGAGCGACTGGGTGTCCGGCTTCTCCTACTTGACACAGCAAGGGTTCTTACACTGCAAAAAGAGGCAGCAAAAGGAACAAGAGCACTCAGCTGTGAATGAGAGGCAGGACTGCGCAGGGAGAGCGCGACTCGCACCAGGTGCACTTCCTAAGGCACATCGTGCATCTGCGCAACGCACGTTTCACTTCTAACGCACCACAGACCCAGCCTTGCGTGACCAACCGGAGCTGAGCTATGCGTCTGCGAGCTCCAGACACATCCAGGAAGGGGTGAGAGAGCACGGAGGGCCCCAGGCCCCTGAGCATGGCTGACGCGGTGGTCTCAATCTCCGGTGTGCGCTAAGCCGACCCACACGCTGCTGCCCGCTGCAGACTGAACGGGCCAGCCCAGTCCCTGCGCCTGCCGCGCGGCTCCAGAGTCAGGGAGGTTCTGTGAGGTGGGTGGGGCGCTTACCCTGAGTAAGTTCCTTCCAGAGCAGGGTCCTCGGGGTTGTGCCCCAGGTAATGGTCCATCAGCTTCTCCCTAGACGTCTTCGGAAGCAAATAAACCACTGAAACCTCAGCAGACCAGGGCAACTCGAGAGCTCAGCTTCCCCATTCTTGGCCTTTGGAGGGACAGTTAAAACCCTTGCATGAAAGAAACTTTTAAGGGACTACAGCTACTAGCTAGGCATGGTGGTGCACGCCTGTCATCCCAGCATATGTGAGGCTGAGGCAGGAGGATCATGGTGAATTCAATGCCAGCATGAACTATATAGGAAAACCCTGTCTGGACCAAAAACAAACAAAAAACCCAAACAATCAAACAAAAAAAGACTATGGGGAAACTACCTGAAGTTTTCATTAGTCTCATAGTTTTCAAAATGGTATTTCTTTGTTTTTTGTTTTGTTTTTGTTTTGAGACAAGGTTTCACCATGTAGTCCAGGCTGGTCTCAAATGCATAGCGATCCTCCTGCTTCAGCCTCCCCAGTGCTGGGATTACATGAATGGGCCACCACACTCAGGAAAATGACACTTCTTGTTACGAAAATGATTCTTCCCGTTAGGAATACACTTTTTCCTTAGGAATTGAATTTCCCAAACTTACAGTGTTGCTTTCATCGCCAAAATCTGCAGGGTCTCCGATGATATTTATCGCAACCAAAGCAACCTAAGAAAAAAATCAAAGCAACAAGAACTAAGCAAAAAATGTTTGAGATGTTGCAAGTCCTTTATAATACATGCGCACTGAACTGTCACCCAAAGAGATGACCCACATCGAGCTGTACTAATTGAGAAGTGCTATGCTAATATATAGATCTGTTATCAGTTCTTACACAAACTACGTACGAAATAAAAGCTAAAAAAGCCTAAACTGGGGCCTCCTGATGAGCCCCCCACTCGATGGTGAATACAGAAGTCATTGCTACATGGTGCTGGGAAACCAATGAAGCCAAAGCCTAGGTCACCGGCTCAGGCAACTGCGGCCACTGACCCCGGCCCTGCAGCAGATCTCAGGTGGAAGGGGTGGACGGGAAAAGATGCTCAGACTCGTGTGCTGGCAGCTCCCTTCGAACTCACTGGCTCAGCATGAAGTTGACTCGAGGGGTGCTCATGTCACCCTGTAAGCCCTGATAAGCAGAGAGCTGCCCCTGGACACTCCCAGGTCAGATGCTCAGCAAGGAAAGCAGGGGTGGTGCTGTGGGGTGGGGGCCGAGGAGCCAGTGCTGGAGCTGGGAGCCGGGAGCTGGCCCAGGGACGGCCCGCGTGACTCCCGGCTCCCACCCAGGGTCGGCTCCCAGACACAGAGCGCTCCCACGCAGTCATTCGAGGTTTTCTAGCGGCGGCATTAGAAAGGCTAAAAAGGAACGGGTGGCGGTGATTTCACCATGATATTATGGCGCCATCTCTGGTACCTGATGTAGATGTTTTCACAGACTCTCATTCCTTCTGGTCCTCAGTGTCTCAAGTCCTGTGTGTTGGTGACACAGTGCCACCAGCCTGGCGCCAGGGAGCACCAGTCAGGCATGCACAAACACCCTTCTTTCAAGGCAGCCTCAAGCAAGCATGGTGGCGGACACCAGCACTCTGGGAGGCTGAAGCGGGAGGACTGCCAGTTTGAGCCCAGACTAGGCAGCTCAATGATTTAGCAAGACCATGTCTCAAAAATAAACAGGTAAATAAATAAAAAAGTAAGGCTGGAGCTATAACTCAGTGTGGAGGCCCTGGGTCCAATCCCCAGTGCCTTGAAAAGAAGGCTTGAACATGCTTGAAGGGAAGACACTGCACTCCTCATCTCGTGGGAGCGGGGCACAGTCCCGGGTGCAGCCATGCTGCTCTTACCTGGTTATAAACGTTGTACTTGTTGACATGGTTTTGGTGAAAAATCAGCTTCAGAAATTGCCCTACTGCATCCACATACACCGATTTCAGCTCCCGGGCTTTGCAACCTGTCTTCTCATTGTCGCAGAGGGAGACGTAGCTACAGGGAAAAACACGCTGAGGAAGACGAGGAGTGAAGACGAAGCTGCCCCTGCCCTGACTGAGCTCAACAGTTCTAAACACACAAGCTACGCCTTGGGTGAGTAGCCCGGCCAAACCCCCCATTCCAGTTGGCATCCTGCCGAGCTGGTCACCTGCCAAGGGGGCTGAACGCAGGCCCTGCCGGACCTGCTCTGCCGCCGAAGCACATTAATACCAGGCAGGCCTGGGGAGAGCTAGGGCCTGGACCTGGTCAGGCCGCAAGTGTCATTCTTACCCAAGTCTGCGGAAGCGCTCTGCTTGGTACGGTACGAGATACTCGGGCAAGCTCTCACTGATGTAGAACTCGATTTTACTTGAAATCATATACTGGTGAGCAAGGAGCTGCAGCTTTCTTATGCGGCATCTCTCAACCATCTGAAGAACAATTTCTTGTGGAAACTGGCAGAATCTGAAAGCAAAGACATCTGTTTTTCTGGGCATGAGGACCCAGTTCCCAGCTGCCAAGCTCCCGGAGGGAAGCAGGGGACCAGAGGGGCTTGAGAAGCGGGTGTCACTGTCGTGGGAGCCAGGCCCTCTGCACGGGCCAGTGAGAGCCCCACTGCTGACGGCCAGACCTGAACCTCATCAGGAGACGAGGTTATCTCGAGGGGTTGTGGCGGTGGGCAGGACACAGCCCTGCTTTTCCACAGGAAGCTGATCACTGAGAAAACTGCGTGTTAGAGGACTGGTCTCTAGCTTCTGCGGCGACAGGGAGCTCAGTGGGAAAGTGACATCACAACTTGTGGCCCTGGGGAGACCCCAGCCCCTTCTCCCTCAGCTTCCGGCTGCTGTGGGGTGAGAGCTTCCTCTGGTGGCTTCCACCGTGACACACTGTGCTGCCACTGCCCCGGACGACCATGGACCCATGTCTGAAGCACCAAGATAAACCTTTCTTCCTTGATGGAGACCATGTCAGGTGTTTGTCACAGGGACAGAAAGTGGAACACAGAGCTTGCTCCCAGGATGCCAACTGCCAAGCTACAAGGAGTGACTGTCCTGTGTGCTCAGGGCCCAGAAGAAGCCTGGGTGCCAGTGCACGCCGGAGCTGCGGATCTTGCTCATCCAGAAGCTCCACGGGCACCACTACGTCACTGCCCTGGGGCCTTCTTCCCGGGAGCTGCGGAATCACTGGTGGATGCCAGGCTGGTGGTGCACGTGCGCACTCTGCCCACCCGCGGAAGGACCCAGTGAGGGAAGAGGAATGAAGGAGCTCTTGAGCCTGTGGACATCTCGCCCCACAGAGCAGCTACACACAGAGCGGCACTGTGTGTGGGGGAGATGGAGTGGGCTTGGGACCAAGGGCTCTGTGCTGTGATGCTTGGAGCACGAAGCTCACCTTTCCGAACATCAACTTTGTGAAGCAGCAAGGTCGTAGGAGATATAATTGGCAGGAGGGCAGTGGGAAGCGTGGTGAAGCTGTGCAGCTTTGGCAGTGGACCTGGGCCTCGTGTACAGTCTGGTGTTGCCTGAGACACTTACGATATTTTATGTGCAGGCACCTGTGCTATCATCTGTGCTGTGATCATTCCGCACGTAAGCACGACTGGGGTGTGTTATAAAATCCAGCGTGTGTGGTGTGCTGAGCAGGGCACGTGGGTCCTTCCTTTGCTGTACGCTCTGGAGTGTATTACCAAGATGAGTATGGTTGTGCCCTTAAATACCGCGCCAGCGTGCAGAAGCACATTAGTGTCATTTCCATAAATACAACCCAAAGGGGCTCCCTGTCCACACCTGTGAAAACGTCTAATCTACACATGGCTACTGAACCTGCGCAGCCAGAGTTGAGGACCCGGTGGAAGGGACCATGCCTGTGGCCCTGGCCTGGGGGAAGAGGCCTGAGAGGTGCCCTGGCTGTGCCACTGCCCAGACAGATGCCAACGTTCAACACACTGAGGACGCACCAGCTGCAGCAAGAGCACCCTTGCCTGGAACTCACTGTGCACCCCAGGCTGGCCTTGAATTCACGGCAGTCCTCCTGCCTCAGCATTCCGAGTGCTGGGATTACAGGTGTGTGCCACCATGCCTGGCCCAGAGACTTCTTAAAGTTTCAGAAAAATAATAAAAGTAACACTCAAATGACAAGTGTTTTTATAAATGTGCAAATGTTCAAGAGAAATCAGAAAGAGACTTTTTTCACTGAAGCCTGGTATTGCACAAAAGCAGTCAGATGCACAATCTTTCACTGGGAGGTGCCCGACCACAGAGCTAATAGTCTGTAAACAACCTTGCTGTGCGAACTGCTGGTGCAAGTGCAGAAGTCAGCACGTGGTCAGGACTGGACAGGGGTGTGGTCATTTCTATTTCTGCACATTTTCTTAAGTGAGCTGTGGGCTTATGTAAGAGAAAAGAAAATTCTCTTTAAAAACATAAACAAAAAGGAAAAACACACCATAGCACAAGATGTATGACATGGGAACACAACCTGAAAATCTTATGGCTCCAGATGTATGAATTATAATAAATTGAGAGCTTAGGATAAAAAGAGCCCAGGGTGGGACCCCAGTGCTGGCTTCCAGCCCATGTCCAGCCTGGTCCAGCCCTACCTTGGCGACCGCCACCCGCTGACCGTTGGTGCGTGGATCATTAGTTCCCGGGCGCTGAAGCCGTCTTCATGTCCGGAAGAGCTGACCACGACGAACCCAATCTTGTGGGGCATTCTGCATGCGTGGGCTGTTATTAAGGGCAGAGAGTTTCTTTAAAGGAATTCACCGCTATACCACTGAAAATGTTAGCTCACGCCTCCCGACCTATGAGGTGATTCACAGAGTGCCCAGGATCTTCCATTTCTTTTTGTTAAGCACTTTTTATAGACACTTCTAGTTCTGCTTAAAGTACCACTCATCTGGACTTTTGGCAAATATTCGTTCAAAAGTGTGACCTGTGTCATGCATGAGCTGAATTGTGTTCTCCAAAGATATGTTCAAGTCCTTCCTTTGCTACCTGTGACTGAGAACTCATTCAAAAAATCTTTGCAGATGTGACCTGCTTAAAATGAAGTTGTGGCCGGGTATGGTGGTGCACACCTATAATTACAGCACTCTGGAAGGCTGAGCCAGGAGGACTGCAAGTCTGAGGCTAGCCTGGGCAAGTTAGTGAGACTCTTCTCAAAAAATGAAACAAAACAACAGTTAGGGATGTAGTTCAGGGTAGTTTCTGCTTTGACACCCGCCCCCCGCCGCTACTCAATCATAAGGGTAGGCTCAATCCAATCACTCCAATGTGACTGGTGTTCTTGAGAAGGGGAAAAAGGGCCGGGGTGCAGCTGTAGCTCAGCAGTAGAGCACTTTGCTAACCGTGCTCACAAGGCCCTGGATTTGATACCTAGGGCTGCAACAAACAAGGAAAAACATATGCACACAGAAGGATAGACAGGCACATGGGGTGAACACCTGCAATGACAGAGGCAGGGACCGAAGCGGGTCCCTTAAGCCTCGGAATGGCTGGATGGTGACCCCACGAGCCAGTACAGACAGGAAGGATCGCGCCCTATGGTGCCCTGATCCTTCCGAACAGCATGGTCTTGGGGTCTTGTTCGAGACTTTCAGCTCCAGAACACATTTTTGTTGTTTCAGTTGCCCAGTTGGCGATACTTTGTTATGGCAAAAGGGAGATACAAATGTAAAGCTTTTTGCATCTGTCAAGAAACTAACAGCCAATTTCTGTTAGTTACTAACAAGGAGGGGAAAAGGCAATTTAATTACTATGTAAAAGTGTACGATAGGGAAGGAGCAACCACAGATACCACCTTAAGTGCAGAAATGTGCACAGTCTGCACTCATGACTGGCTCCGAGAATATTTAAACACACCGGCTCACTGTCTTTTTTTGGTACTGGGAATCAAACTCAGGATCTTATGCTTGCCAGAAGGCGCTGCGCCACTGAGCTACATCCCCAGCCCATCGCTGAGTTTTTAATGTCGTGACTTTTCAGTGAACCTGACCCTGACACTAGCTCAGTGGCATCACCTGGAGGGTGGACCTTTCGATGTCTACTTTCACTGCTTGGCATCCAGCTCTCCCCCTTGGGAAGCCCACCCTGACCAACTGTCCTCTGGTGACTCTGCCCTCTCCTCCCAGTCCCGGTGCTGGTGTGCTGCCCACTTGGCCCACCCCTACCCACCTGCACCAGCCACCTTCCCCAGCCCAGTCAGCCCTCTGCAGTAAGGGCTCAGGGATGGGACGGGAATATGCAGCCCAGAGCGCATGAAGGAGGTGCAACCCCAGCACTGCAGTGCCACGACGGGGAAGGAGCTTTGACTTCCCACGGGGACTGCTGGGCCCAGCATGACTGGCTCTGGGGGCCGCAGTGGGGCAGCCCCACACAAGTGGCGCTACCAGGGTGCAGTATGTGCAAGCCCCTTGTGAGCCCTCAGGCACCGCCACCTTGAAAGCCCAAACTGCTCCTGGGCTCTTGGTTACTGTTCAGGCACCAAGCCAATCAAAGTCCTCCTGAGCAAGCCAATGAGTTAGTTCAATCTTCTGCAAACACAAAAACCAAACAGAAAAGCCCCCCAAAAGTCCTCCTCACTGGCAAGACAAAGAAGAATCTATTAGGGATTTCTGTGGGATAAAATCCATATACCATTCACTGGCACACTCCTTAGGAGGTGCCATGTAAACATGCCCCTAAAGAACTCTGGCTCATTTTAACACGCTTGGTGCATGATCTTTCTGTCACTGAGGATCCAAGGAAGTCCTTTCAATAATAAACTGGTGTTGCTAAGGTTTCTCAGCATGCATTGACAAAAGCACTCAAAATAGCATGATAGCCATTATTATTAATCTTAGGTATATTTTCACTCAAAGTTCCCTGCAGAAGGTCACACTATATCACAGGAAAATGAACCCGGAGAATGATGAAAAACAAGCACAGAAAGATGGCTGAGTGTGATTCAATCCAGCGTCTGCCACCAGCCCATGAGCATTCCACCCCGTGTCAGAACAGCGCAGGCTGTAGCTTCTCCCGCCCTGTGGGACTACCACTCCTGTCACTTGGACTGTATCCTGGAGGGCTTTTCTCCAGGCCACCCAAGCCCGAAGGCACAAAGTCTTACTGACCGCACCCTTCTGCCCCAGCCGGTCGTCTCCACAGCTGCGGCTGCTGCCATCTCCGCACCGGACACCCCTTCCGCCCTGCCCTGTGCTCCTGCAGACGGATGTCCCCGTGGCTCTGGCTGTCTCCATCCCTTCCTGACCCACTTTGCCTTCCCAGCTCTTACTTCTTGTCTTGAATCTGAATGTCCAGCCAAGCTTAACTAACGCTCAGCAGCGCCATCCCTCTGCCCCAAATGCCTGACCCTTGCCTGTGACACCTTGTCCATCTCAATACCCTGAGGTGGCACTAGGATTTAGACTCCCTGGAAGCCCAAATACCAGGTGCCTTCACTATGTGGTGTTGCTCTAATGAATCCCAAACTCCTGGCACTCAAGAACCAGGCAGGCTGACTGCATGGGCACTGTGGAGGCGACCTGTGACCTCAGTGCGGGCATCCGAAAAACAGTGCTGTTCAGATAAAAGCCTTCCACCTTGTACCCTTCTGCGTCTCCACGAGATGCTTCCGGGCTCTACAAAAATCACCTCGCACACTCAGAAAAACCGCTCTGAGTCAGGCCTGGTAGTGCACACTGCAATCTTAGCTACCCGGCAGGCTCAGGAAGGAGGATCACCAGGCTGGGTAACTCAGTGAGACCCCGTTTAAAAACAAAAGGGGTTGTGCGTGTAGTTCGGGGGTAGAGCGCTTGCTTAACCTGGGCGGGTCTGGGCTCACTCCAGGGTGCGTGGGTGGGGGAGGCAGGAGGAGGGGACAACCACGATTATCAGCGGCGGCAGCTGTTTGGCGCTGGGTCACCAGCTGGTCTTCACCGCAGCAGGCGGGATCCCGGCCGCCCCGGGGCAGCCACCTGCGCCCTGCAACCGCCAGACCATCCCAGCCCCACACGCAGCCCCGCGTCCCTTCCCCCGCTGTGCCCTCGCCCGGGAGTGCGCTCCGCGGAGCCGCTCCCCGACGAGACCCGCAGACGGTACAGTGGCCCCGGGGCCGAAGACCCTTGCGGAGGGGCACTGGCCGTCCCGAACCCCTCCGGGCCCGGTTGCGCCCGGACGGACAGGACGACCGGTGCCACCCCGGGCCGGGCCGGGCCCCAGGGTCGCGGCAGGGAGACCCCGGCCCCGCGTCGCCCTCGCCCGCGTACCTGCTTGCACGCCCGGTCCCTAGGCCGCCGCGCCCTCAGGCAGAGCTCACGGGGCGCCCCGCCGACCCCGGCCAGCAGCACCCGCAGGCCCTGAGGAGGTGGCAGCCGAGGCCCAGCAGCCCCCGCCCACCGCCCGGCCGCGGCCGTGCTCTCATGACAACCGGGCGGGCTACCGTCCTGCGCCTGCGCAGCAGCCCGCGCCTGCGCAGGAGCCAGGCCTCGGTCCGGGCTGCGCCTGCGCAGGAGGAGAGCGGCGCGGGCCGCGCCTGCGCACGACCACCCGGGCGTTCCCGGTGTGTCTGCCGGGTCTCCTCCAGGGAGCGCGCGGCCAGGGCGCGAGGATGTGCGCGGTGCAGCGCCGGCCCAAGACCTTCCGGCTGCGGGACCTGCACAGCGCGCGGAAGTTCGGCGTGGCGGGCCACACCTGCCAGGAGGTGCTGCGCAAGGGCTGCCTGCGCTTCCAGGTGCGCGGGTCCTCCCGGGCTGCTGTGTCCTCCCGCGGCTTTCCGTCGGGGTTGCGGGCCGGGGCGGGACGCCCCGTCCCCGGTGACTCCCGGCGCCCATGCCCTCAGGTCCCGGAGCGCGGCTCCCGGCTGTGCCTGTGCGAGGACGGCACGGAGGTGACCGAGGACTACTTCCCGGGCGTGCCCGACGACGCCGAGCTCGTGCTGCTGACCGCCGGCCAGACCTGGGGGGGCTGTGAGTGCGGGGACCCCTGGCCCGCGCGGTGTGGGCGGGAGGGGACCCACCCGATCAGAAGGAAGCCTGGGGTCAGAGCGGGCCGGCGGCGCCCATCAGCGAAGCCCGCGGCCTCCTGCCCAGGAGCACAGTTGTCGCTTGTTTTGTTTTTGGTGGCACTGGTTGTTGAACCAGGACCTTCCCGCCGAGCTCCGTCTCCCCGCCCCACACCTTTTGAGACAAAGTCTCCCTTAGTCTCTAAGTTGTCCAGGCCGAGCTTGAACTTGCGATCCTCCTGCCTCTCACCATCAATCAGCCGGACTGCAAGCTCTGCTCCCCGGACAAGGGCCCTGGGCTGGGGGACACCAGCAGTCCTGCCCCGGGAGGTCGTGCGTCTGCACGCGGTGCTGCCGCTGGGTGGGGCGGGAAGCAGGGACCCAGCACCACTGGGCCCATTTGGTTCCGACGACAAAGGCTGGTGACGTCTGAGTCTGGACCGACCGTCCCCAAGCTCCGGGTGCTTCAAGGTGGGCAGGGCAGGGTGTGCCTTCCCTGGACTGAACGCGTTTCCGTTTTCCCCTGCTGGTGGCAGATGTGAGTGACATTGGTCGCCTCCTCAGCGTGTTTCAGGAGCCGCACACGGGCGCCATCCAGGCCGTGCGGCAGCTGTTGGCTGATGAGCGGGCTCCGCTTAGAAAGAAGCTGCTGGCCGACCTGCTGCAGAGCGCCAGCCAGAACATGGAGGCCGAGACGCGGGCCGAGGACCCGCCCTGGTTCGAGGGTGCGTGATGAGGCTGTGTATGGGGGGCAGACAGCCTCTGAGCCAGAAGCCCAGCCGAGAAGGTGGTGGCCTTCCTAAACCGTTCCTAGCACATTTGCCTGCTGGTGTCCGGGGGGGGCTGAGCATACCACATTCCAGGAGTGCCCAGCTCAGTCAGGACATGGTAGTGTTCCTGCGGAACCGGTTTCAGCTTTGTAGTGTTGGGAGTCCACCGTAGGACCTCATACACGTTAGCGTCAGCAAGTGGTTATAGCCTCAGTCCTTTCCTTTCCCTTCCCCTCTCCTTCCCTCCCCTCCCCTCCCCTTTCCTTTCCCTTTCCTTCTCTCCTTCCCGTTCCCTCCCCTTCCCTTCCCTTTCCTCCCCCTTCTCTTCCCTTTCCTCCCTTCCCCTTCCTTTCCTTTCTTTTCCTTTCCTTTTCCTTCCCCTTCCCTTCCCCTTCCCTCCTTTCCCCTCCCCTCCCCTCCCCTTCCCCTCCCCTCTTCTTTTCCCTTCCTTCCCCTTCCTCCTTCCCCTTCCCTCCCTTCTCCTTCCAACTCCTTCCAACTTGCTCTGTCCGGGCCTAAACTTGCAGTCCTTCTGCCTCAGTCTGATAAATGATTGGAACTATATTCATTTTTTAAGGCTGAGTAATATTCTGCCACCTGGACGGAGCATACTTTGTTCATCTGTTTGTCTGCTGGTGGGTACCTGTTGCATGTGTCTAGGCTGTTGGTCTGAACTTGGGAGCCAGTTGGAGGCGACCCTGATTAAAGGGCTGGTGGGGCCAGCCAGGGCCAAGCCCTCAGCAGTGTTTGGGATGCCTCTGAAATGAAAAGCAAATAGCGTCACTGTGCGTCACTGTCAGCCACCGTCTGCTGTCCTCCTGATGTGGCCCCCTGGCCCCGTGTTCTGCCCAGTGTATGACTCGGGGGTCTTCTTCCTGGCAGGCCTGGAGTCTCGGTTTAGGAACAAGTCTGGCTACCTGAGATATAGCTGTGAAAGCCGGATCCGGGGCTACCTGAGGGAGGTGAGGCTGTTCGAGGACTGGGAAGTTGGTGGGAAGCCACCCGTGCTGGTGATGGGGTGAACCTGCGCGCCCGGGAGCGGTGGTGTTCTCTGTCCCACTCACCCGCTGCCCCTCCGGACTGCAGCCTCTGGCCGCCCTCGCCCCCTGGCCGAGGCCTCCCCTTCCCTCTTGGTGGCACTCCCGCTGCATGAGAACCGCTCTTTCCGTCCTCGTGTGTCACAGGGATACTTTGTGCCCTCTACGCGCTCTGACCCGCGCCTCCGCGGTCGTGCAGTCACGGCTGCAGGGGCATCTGACAGTGGGGTCGCTGCCCTCGGAGCAGGGCACGGGGCCACGTGGCTGTGTGGGGTGCCTGTGCTGGCTCTGGGGACCTCTGGGTGAAGCTGATTCCTAGGTAGCTGTGTCTTTCCCCGAGGAGGCACCACGGGCTGGTGCTGGGCAGAGAGCAGAGGCTGTGCTGGACTGTGGCCCTGGCGTGACCTCTGTCCTGCTTTGCTCACACAGATGACAGGGATAGGAGAGCAGGGCTGCGCAGACCTGGCCAGCAAGGATGTCCTGGGAGCAGGGGCCTCGAGAACCGCACGTGTGCATGTGGTCACTGGGAGGCTCCCCTCAGGTTCTCCGGATGGGGCCAGCAGAGGGCGTGGGCTGGTGCTCGCTCGGCCGGCTGTGGAGCAGTGGCATCGACATGGCCAGGGGCTCTGTCCGCCCTGTGACGCTGTGCCACCTGGAGCTTGTGAGGGTGGAGGCCGCCTAGTGGCTGTTTCGTTCCTCGCCCTGCGCTCCGACTGGGTGCGTGTCTTGGGCGGCAGTTTAGTTTGCATGGGGAAAACTGGACACAAGCGTGCGTCCCTGGATTTGCCATTGTGCCGATGGCCCTTGACGGCTGGTGTCCGAGCCTTGCCCTTGCTGCCCCTAGGAGGCCTCTCAGGCTGTGTGCCCCACCCAGGGTGTCCTGGCACAGGGTCACAGTTTGTTGCACACTGCCCTGTACATCATGCCATGCCTGCCTGTCACTCCCGCTGAGAAGCGCATGGGATGGTGGCAATTCCTGGTCTGTATGCCCTCCAGGCTTCCTCCTGGGCAGTACTGGCACACGGTACCCAGATGGGCCCACAAGAAGTCCAGTGCTTGCGTCCATTGTTTGCCCAACTGTGACCAAAGTTGGCACGCACTGGCAGAGGCCTGGGGGTCCAGGCAGCCTGAGCTGCAGGCGTGGTTACCTCCAGGCCGTGACCCAGCCCTTTCTCCTAGAGGCGGAGCCAGCGGCATGCTGTGTCAGGTCTCCCCGTGACCCCAGCAGGGGGAGGGTTCTTCCCCGCATGCCCAGGCCCCCTGTGCCCTTGCTGTCCCCTTGGGTGGCACGATGGTGGTGTTCGGCCACCTGCTGTCTCTGTGCCCCTCGCCGAGGTGACTGGCCGCATCCCTGGGTGCCCTGACCTGGCCCCCTGTAGTGACTCACCACTGCTGGCTCTCCCTACCACTGAGGAGGACAGGCCAGGCCTTCCTGTCACTTGCGGCCTGTGTGACCTGGCTGGCTCTGACCCGCATGGTACCTGTAGCTTAGGGGCTTAGACCTCTGATCGCAGGCCTGGGCAGGGTCTTGAGGGTATGCAGGGCCCCAGGACGGATCCTCACGCTGGCCTCGGCCTGGGCCTAGGCTCAGCGGTGTCACCCCTTTCCCAGGTGACCACCTATGCCTCTCAGGTGGATGTGGGGGCTCGAGAGGAGTTCCTGCGTGTCCTTGGCTCCATGTGTAAGAAGCTCAAGGCTGCGCAGTACCACGGCAGCTACTTCGACAGGGGAGCCGAGGCCAGCGGCCGCCTGTGCACTCCGGAGGGGTGGTTCTCCTGCCAGGTGAGCAGTGCCCCTTACGCAGGTGTCCTGCCAGGCCCAGCCCTCTGGATGAGGTGGGAAGGACACTCAGTCCTTGGTCTGGGCAAAACTGAGGCTAGGGTACCTGTGTCCAGCGTGGGGTCGTGGTCTCAGCGTGGTTCTGGACCACAGTATGTGGTGAATCCTTGGGGGCCTGGGAGTCTGCGTTTGTGACGTGCTCTGTCGGGGAGTCTGTCTTGTTCCCCACCCATCTGGGCAGGAAGGGCGTGCTCTCAGCACCTAGTGGGTTAGGTTAAGTAGGAGGCGGGGGCGGTGCTCTGAGCTGGCGAGATTACAGGCGAGCCCGAGAGGTGTTCGCCCACCGCAGGGCTAAGGGGGCAGGGTTCTGGCAGGTGAGGGTCAGGGTCAGGGTCAAGGCTGGGGGTGGCATTTCCAGGCGCTGGTAGAGCTTGGCTTCCTAGAGGAGCACAGGCAGAAACAGTGCTCTGGGTGTGTGTGGATCCCCAGGGTCAGCCTCCTTCTATACATGCGTGTAACTTGCGGGGCGCCATTTTGATTGGAGGCGGAGCGGGGCTCTCACTGCCCGAGCTGCTTTCCTCTAGCCTCAGCTTCCCTTCTGCAAGGTGTCAGGTGTGCGCTAGCCTCGGGCAGGGGTGGCTCCCCGGCTTGGCCTGTTCCTGGCCCCCCAAGGTGTGGGGACAATGTGGGGGCACCTCTGGCCACTTGCAAACTGCAGGTGCATTTCTGGTGGTTTAGGCAGCAGGGCCTGGTGGCAGGGGTGGCCTCCAGCACTTGCTGCCACTGCTGGCCATTTCTTCTGTGGGTGATGGACTCTGCCCTTGAAAAACCTTCTTCTTCCAAATTTGCCCCACATTCAGACTTCTAGGGAACTCACTCGGCCACTCACCAGGGACCTTCCCTGTGCCAGGTACCAAGGGAACACTGAGGCACATCCCTCTTGCCTACCCTCAAGGAGGCGCCGGTGGGAGGGGAAGGGTGTCCAAACCGTAGTGGCAGAATGGCTTCATGCCACGGTGCTGAGGGGTGCCTTGGGTGGCAGGCAGAGCTGGAGCTCAGCACACGTCCCACAAACACCTGCCAGTGAGGAATGCCGAGGGGCTGGGCAGGCTTAGTGAGGTGGCCCAGCCTGTGCGGGGTGACAGGGAACTATCCAGGAGCCATGTGGCGTGGACAGTCCGGGGCCCTGTCCTGCCACTTGGTGGCCGTGGCCCCCGCAAGTCAGCGCCTTCCCTGCTGAGCTTCTCAGAGGTGGGGCCGTGGCGGACCCTGTGCCATGCAGCACTGGGATAGTGGGGCTGCCCAGGTGCCCACCAAAGGTGGCTGTCCCCGGGTGACGGGGGCGTGTGGTAAGGATGCTGTCATGACTAACAGTGACAGCAACTAAGTGGTCCCCTGGGGACCCAGAGCACAGCTGGCTAGTGATTCCCCACGTAGAATTCCGGAATTCCTCATCTGCCACAGACAGCAAGGAGTTCTCAAGGACCAGGTGCCCGCAGGTCCTACTGCTCAGTGAGCTGGTGTGCCGGGGAGGCCAGGGGAGCCTCACGTCGCGCCTTTCCTGTCCTCTGCCACGCAGGGTCCTTTTGACCTGGAAGACTGCGTCTCGAAACACTCCATCAACCCTTACAGCAACCGGGAGAGCCGGATCCTCTTCAGCACGTGGAACCTCGACCACATGTGAGTGCCTGGTGCCAGCCCTGGGCTCACAAACCCAGGCAGCAGCGGCAGGGTCCTGTCCTGCAGGGCTGCTTGGTGGATCCGTGGCTATCACCAGTTTCCCAGGCTGTGCCTGTATTCGTCAGCCCAGGGGCCTGGTGGGATGTGCCAGGGGCTGCTAGACGTCAGAACACATGCCTGACGCCCAGCTGGCTCCTCTACCCTCTGGTCCCTCTGGATGGAGTGGGGCAGTGAGCCTTGCCCAGAGCGAGGGGCCTGGCTCTTGGAGTGCCACTGCCAGGCGCCATGCCACATGCTTGAGCTGGAGGAGCTGGGAGGGCGGGAGCTCCGGCTGCGTGTTGCTTGCTGGCTACTGGGACAGACCACCTGATACCTAGGGCTTAAAGCAGAGAGGTTGGTTCATGGTTTCACAGGGTCAGTCCATGGTTGGCTCGCTCCAAGGAGAAGCAGCATGGTGGGAGGGTCTGGTGGAGGACAGCTGTCCAACCTGGGGTAGCCAGGAAGCAGAGGGAGGAGCAGTGGGCAGCATATAGCCTTCTGGGCCACACCCCCAGTGACCACCTCCTGTATGCAGGCCCAACCTCAACGGCACTTCCAGCTGTGATCCAGCTGCTGGGTGAATGCTGTGACGGGTAAAGTGCCGCAGGATTCAGTCACCTTTCACCTGTCCCACCTCTGGACACACTCACGCTTGAGATGCAGATGCTGTAGACAGAGGCAGCATGTGGGGACTTCGGGGCCAGCGGGTGGCTTTCCCAGCTGTGGAGCTGTGGCAGCTCTCTGTGGGCCAGCGCAGGTGGAAACACCAGTCTCTCTGGTGTGACTTTCCCTTTCTTAACCACAACGTTCTCTTTGCGTGTCATTGTGTCTGGACCTCGCTTTAGGGAGACAGATCTTCAAGTGTCCTTGAAATGAGGCACTTTGGAGTAAGTGGGACATTAAGTTAGGAGCCAGTGCCCGTCTTGCCCCTTCTGTACTCAGCTCTCCTCTACCCGTGGGGGAAACCGTGTGTGTCCTTGTGACCCACTTCTGTGCCGTTACCCTGCACATGAGTGTCAGGCACGTGTCACACTCACTGAAGGATCCCACTTCATTCTGCCCCATGCTCGGGACTCACTCGTTCACCTGCACAGCATGGGATACTTCTGGGGTGTGGGCAGCTTGGGCTGAACGTCTGTTCTCTTGCAGGGCATCCTGTGTGCTCACTGTCGTCCCGAGACCCTGCTCCGTGGACTTGGCACTTGGGGCTCTGGGGCTGGCGAGGGGTGCAGAACTGGGCCCACTGACCCTGCGCAGGGCCCAGGACTGGGAAATTCAGTGTGGGAAACACTGCTCCTGTGTCCGCCCTGAGTCCCTGTGAGGAAAATGCTGGGTCCCTCTGGGGAGTACTCCCAGGTCGTCTCCAGAATGCTCCAGGTCACACACTCACCGGGGCTCCGTGTCCTTGCCACGACTTGGTGTCACTGTGCCTTTCTGAGATCTCGAAGTCTGCAGGCGAACGACAGTTCTCTGGCTTTAGTTCTTGTTTTCCTCGTTACCAGGAGGGCCGCATGTCTCCTTACCTGCTTCCTGGCTGTCAGTGCGCCCTGTGTTGCTTCCCCTGGCTCACTGTTTAGCAGGTTTTTGGTCTTGTCTGTCTGTCCGATTCCACTGGCCTGGCTTCAGTCCTCTGATGTCTGTCGGGACAAGATGTAGCGGTCACTGTCCTCATTGGTAGCTTCTCCCTTTCTGTTGAAGCGATCTTTCTGACCCGTTCATTGTGAAGGTCCTCCTGCTCTCTCTCTGGTTTGTGAGTGCCCTTCTTACCTGGGGCTGCCCAGGCAGCCTGTCTGCCTTGAACTCTGTGTGGTGCACTGGGCCTGGGACATCCCTCTGGGAGACCCATGAGGGAAGTGGGCCAGCCTGGGAAGATACAACAGCGGTAGCAAGAGGCACAGGATGAGCAAAGTGACGTTGTCTCCTGAAATACTCATTTCCGTTATTCAGTTATACATTTGTAGTTATGTTTACTGGGTTTTAATTAAAAATGTAGGTTTTATCACATTCATCAGAACCTGGTCTGCCTCCTGCCGTGGTGGGTGGGGCTCAAAGCCTCATGCCAACTGTGAGTGAAAAAGACAAATTGGGGTGGAACCAGAGTTGCTGCCCTGTTGGAACCAGTGCAAGCCGTGGCCTGGGAGGCGGGGTTCAGGATCAGGAGAATTCATGGACGTCTCTGCGCTGTGCAGTGTGGCAATCAGGGGGTCAGGCCCTAGTGAGCACCACGCTGCTCCGTTGTCCCAGCCCCCGCTTGGGGTTGAGGCATGCACACGGAGGCACCGCCTGTCCAAGAAGGATGCCTGGGAGACAGAGTGGGGCGGGACCTGCAGGCCCAGTGCACCCCTTCTTGACCCAGATTCCTCTGAGTGGGTTAGCATGGGGTTGTCTAGGGAGGGCTGTGGGGCAGCCCTGGAATGTGCAGGTCCCCTGCTGCTGAGGACCGAGTACCCCCAACACCACGTCCTGTGGTGTCCTGTAGGCAGGGATTGCTGTCCGTTCTGATGCACTGTCCAGTCTGCTGCTGTTTCATCTCAGCTTTCCCTGCCACTGTGTCCATCTTTTTGGGGGGCATGGGGGTTGAGACAGGGTCTCGCTATGCAGTCCAGGCTGGCCTTGAACTCACTGTGTAGCCCAGACTGTCCTCGAACTTACAGCGATCCTACTGCCTCAGCCTCCTGAGTGCTGGAATTACAGGCAGGCCTGCGCCTCCACACCTGGCTTTGTATTTTTCCGTTTACTGTGTCCATCTTGGGTCCTGTACTGCCTGACTTTTTTGTGTGTTTTTTTATTCCTGCTTTTTACTCTTTTGCGTTCTTATTCATTTGTGGTCCTTTTGTATTCTAGCACACATTTAAAGCCACACGTCTGCTCAGTATTGATTTAGCCATATGCCCTGCTTTATTACCTGGCGCTAGAGACTTTCGAACGCCCATTATGAGTTTATCCCAAAGCTCTTTCATGCTTGTTTCTGACTATCATTTGTTCTGGCCTTTCCACGTGTAAATGGCCCAGACTCTCTTGCTAGATTTCAGCTTTCTGCTGCCTCTGGCATCGCGTGGCTTTTTCTGCCCCATTCGTTGTGCATGGGCTTTGTGTGCATCTCATTTTCACGCCCGGGTCTGATCCCTGTGTGTGGGTTGTGCATGGGCTTTGTGTGCATCTCGTTTTCACGCCCGGGTCTGATCTGTGCGCGTGGGTTGTGGAGCTCGCTTTCCTTTTGCAGACTCTCTCTTGCACGTGATGTGCCTGGGTTGTTCCCTGCTTGCCAGGAAGGCTCGCCTCTCTCTCAGCCAGGGCTCCCTGCACCGGAACTCGCTCGGTGTGGTCTCTGGTTCCCAGGGCCCAGCACAGCGTCTGGCCACGGGGCTGCTCGGTAAATGCTGGCTGAGTTTTGCTCATGAGTAGATTTATCTGCACTACTTTGTCTGGAGTTTCCTCTTCACTGCACCATTAGTGTGCTTTTTTGGGTCTCTGCTGTGCATTCGGTTGGTTTGCTGGAGTTTTCTCTTCTGCCTATCACACCATGCCGTTAGTGCCTGCAAAATAACCAGAGGTCCCTAAACGTTGTCAGTATCGAGAGTCAGCTTGGCTGCTGTCCTGACTCGGTGCCCTTTTTAGGGTTACGGCCCCCGGTTTTACCCGCACGAAACGCCGCGTCTCGCGCTGTGTTGTCCGCGTTCACCCGCGGCCCCGCTCCTCTGCGCTCGGCGCTCGCTGGGCTCCTCTCAGGTCTGTTGCATGTGATGCTCGTCTGCTGAACGACAGCCTGCTCTTCTTGAGTGATTGCTGTCTGACACCGAGTCCTGGTGACTTGAAGACCCACTCCTCCATCTCCTGCCATTCGCTGGTATTCTGCCTTTTCCTCTGGAAGGGACAGTGTGTGGCTGTAGATCTTTCCTGTGAGTTGTGGGGACTCTTGTCCTCTTGTGCAGTTTGGGGGATTCCTACTGCTCCTTGGCCGCGTCCCTGGGCCTCACAGGCGTGCTGCCGCCGCACTGTGCTGTTTCTTCCATGTTCCAGCTCCGTGCAGCTGTGTTCCAGGCGACTTCCTGTGTGGACTGAATTGTGTCCCCCAGCTCACACTGCACTCTGGCCCTGGTGTGACTGCACCTGGAGGCCGGGCCCAGGGAGATCACGAGGGCTCCAGTCCAGTGGGCCTGCGGTCCTGAGAAGAGGAGGAGTGCTCGCTCACTCTGCCCGGCTGCCCTGTGAAGGCACAGTGAGAGGCCGATGCCCGCAAGCCTGCTCTTGGCATGAGCAGGCCGTGCCACAGCCTGACCTGGGACTTCCAGTCCCGAGCCGGGAGCAGATCAGTCTGGTGTTTAAGCCACCCACATGCTGCCGCAGACTGTGATGCCTCCCGCACCCTTCACCCGTTCTCGCTCCAGCTGGTGTGTTCAGGGTACAGACAGCGTATCCGTTTCCTCTTTGGAAGTGCTTTTTGGATTCTTTTAAAACCAAGCTTGCTTGTCTGTTTTCATTACTTCTCTTTTCCATCCCATTAGTTATCCACTGTAAGCATAGTTACTTTATGGTTATGAGACAGACAAGAGGTGTCTGACTCTTCCTTTTCAGGCTCCAGCCAGGAGGGGGCGTGGCTTAGAGGCATCTGACACCCCCTCCCCCTCGCTTCCCTTTGCTCCCCCTTGACCCCCTCAGGATGGACAGGACAGCTGGCCTCGGTGTCCTCCCACCACCCACCCAGTTACCTCTGGCTGCTCCACTGTCAGCTGTGCTGCCGTCTCCCACTCCCTGCCTGTATGCTGTTAGCTCTCTGGAGCAGCAGCAGCGAGACCACCCTAAGGGGAGGGCTCCAGCCGGCCGTCAGATCCCCAGCCAGTTTGAACTAAGCAGTATAGCTGAATTTGGACCATTCAGGCTCACATTTGGACCTCTCACCAGCCCGAGGCTGCTCTGTAAGCGCACGGACCTGACGGGCCTTGGCTCGGACTAGGACTTCCTCTGCACTGACACTTCTCCCGCCACGTCCTGTGGCACAGGTCCTGCTGCTGCAGAGGCTCCCACAGGTGGTCCTGGAAACCAGCTTGTGACTGACTTCTCCCGTAGTGTGGGCTCAGGAGGTCCTGTAAATCTGGCTATTCTTACGCAGAGTAATATGGACATAGCTGATCGCTTTAAAAAAAGCTAGAAACACGAGGGGCTGCTAGCCCGAAGCACTGCAGAGACCAGCAGCCAATAAAGATCAGTGACAGAGACCAGCACCAGCAGAGATGACTGGCAGCAGTGGCTGGCATTAGCTGGTGGCAGTCAGCAGTGGCAGTTAGCTGTTCAAGCCCAGCGTTAGCTGGCGTGAGCTGGTAGCTGGCAGTCTCAGAGGGCAGCAGCTCAGAGCTGCAACCCCAAGGGCTGAGGGCCACTGGTGTGCAAAGCCCAGCCATGGTTTTATCTCACTTGAGCAGAAGGGCCAGCAGAGGGGCCCTCACCTGGCTGGCGACAGCTGGGTAAAACAAGGGATCTAACCCGGTTGAGAGAGTTCTGGCTGCGTCCCTGTCCTGGGAAGGGACCTCTAAGCCCCTGGAATGCCCTGCCGACAGTGTCTTTGCTTACAGCATAGAGAAGAAACGCACCATTGTGCCCACGCTGGCTGATGCTGTCCAGCGGCAGGATGGCAGGGAGGTGGACTGGGAGTACTTCTACAGTCTGCTCTTCACCTCTGAGAACCTGAAGTTGGTGCACATTGCCTGTCACAAGAAGACCACCCACAAGCTCCAGTGTGACCCCCACAGGATCTACAGACGCCAGCGGAGACCCCAGAGGCGGCGGCGGCCTGCTCGAAAGTGCCTGTGACCTGTGCTACGCTGCCTCCTCCTCGGTGGCTGACTACGTAACGGAAACTGGTGCTATTCTCTGTCACTCCAGTAGTTCCGGGAAATACTTCACAGCTCTTTCCTGGAGACCTGGTTTAAGTACAGCTCTGTGTCCTCTGCCTTGAGAACCGAGCCTCCAGTGGACAGCGGCGGGTGCTTGCCGGACACGTGCAGGTCCTGGTCGAGTGGCCGGGAAAATGCTGTGTGCTCCAGGGTCTTCTGTGCTGAGTTGAACAGCTCAGTGCATCGAGGGTTTGTGCACAGCTGCCAAGGCTGGGCGTGGCCTCTGCTCTCTGCTGTTCTCACATGAATGGCAGCTGGGTCTCTGGACTCTGCTGAAAGCCAGAGAGGGGTGTGGCCATGTGTAAAATGTTTGCATTCCATAAAAAACACAGGATAGATGCTGCTGAATTTATCAAATGCAGAAAGCGGGGAACCTTCCAGGTGTCTCTAGGGAACTGCTGTATGTTGAGCTGTGTAAAGTGCTATTGTTGTAGGTAAATGATGGTCAGGTATGATTCACTTCATGGTTCCACCCAGTCCACACTCAGTGGAAGCGGCAGCGTTGGAAGTGCCCTAGGGTGCTTGTGTGCAGGAATGGAACCCACTGAGTGCCCAGGTGGCTGGGTGCCGTGTGACTGCTGGCTTGGGGAGCAGGGACAGTCTGGGGGAGACGCCTCAAACTCGGTAATCTGGGCACGTGGTGGGGTGGGGTCACAGCACAAGGGACTCATTTCCTATATCATGTTTGTAATACTTGGGCTTTTTAAGTGATCATTTTGTAGTAATATTTTACAATGTACTTTGCAAAGTCCTATATTTTGTAATATTTGTATTTTTTTACACTTACAAGTCAGAAAAAAAAAAATAAAACTTTTCCAAAATAGACATGTCCAGAAAGTCTGTCCTTGAGGAGGGTGAGCACAAGGTCATCGAGCTCGGGTGGCTGGTCTGAGTGGTTCTGTCTCCCTCAGTTGCACAGGGGTGCCCGAGGCAGAGCTGGCTGTGTGGGCTTCACGCACCAGCGTGGCAGTAGTGTCTGGTCTGTCAGGAAGGCAGGCACCAGGGACAGGTGCCCAGCTCCTGAGCCCAGAGCGCTTGCATGGGAACTTTCTGGAACTCAGCAGACTGCACCTGTGCTTCGGGAGCTGGACGGGAGCCTCTGTAGTGAAGTCCAGAGAACCAGCTGCTCCTGCTTCATGCTTGGCCTGCACCGCTTCCAGTGTCTCTCGCAGTGGCTTCCCTGAGGGCAGCCTCCCTCCCATGCACCCGGACACAGGCCGGGTCCCTCCGTGCTGGTTCTGGATGTCCTTAAGCAGCCAGCAGTGGTGCAGTGCAGGTTCCAGTCTGGTGAGCCAGAACACAAATGACAGGAAGGCCTTCTTTACTCACCCCGGGGCCGGGGCAGACAGTGTCTGGACAGCCCATCCCCCCCTGCACCGCTGGGGACCCCAGGACTTGCCTAACAGCTTTGAGGACTATCCTGTTTGGACAGGAGCCCAATGGGGCATTTCCTGCACGTGCTGCTGTCACTTTTGAGGGCTGCAAGCAATGGGGGTGGGGGCTTCAGAGGGTGACGGGCTGTCTGTTCTCCAGGAGGGAGGGGGATCCTTGGAGCTGGGAAGGGAGCACTAAAATCTGAGGCACAAGGGACCCTTTTGCCGCAGCATCCTGGCAGCAGTGCTGGCCTCAGAGGATGCGGGGTGAGCTTGCAGCGGGCCACTGCTCTCCCCTTGGCAGCTGGCTGGACAGCGAGGCTTAATGAACATGTGCTCAGGGTCCTGGCTTCCTGCCGCTTTGGAGGAAGCACACCGCAGCCAGCTGCCATGGGTCCTGGCCAGCCTGCCGAGGGACAGGGCCAGTGGAGCGGCTGACGCTGGCAGCAACCCCTCAGCTCAAGGAGCCGATAAAGCATGCCAGGCCTTGGCGAAGACCACCGTGGCTGAAGGTAGTGAGCAGAGGAGTAAGAAGCCAGCGTCTCTCACAGAGGTCATACTGCAGACCAAGACAGGAAGGGGCAGGTTTTTTATTTTTTTGGCTTCTAGAATGTCCCAGAGTACAGTACCATTCTTTCTCAGTGACCAATGTTTTCTATCACATACTTTATGCCAGTATCTCACGGCGCATCACACTTAGCCCCTTTTGTACTCAACAAGGAGAGTGGGACTACCAAGAAAGCTTTTTCCTTTTGTACTGGAGATTGAAGCCTTTCCACTGAGATATATCCCTACCCCTATCTCTTTTTATTTTTATTTTAGGGACAGACTCTCACTATAGTTCAGGCTGGTCTTAAATTCACTATGTAGCCCAGGCTGGCCCCAAACTTGCAATGATCCTCCTGCCTCAGCCTCCTGAGTGCTGAGGGGGCAGATTTCAATTCTCAGGTGAGCAGAACCATTGAAAGGATCTAGGGAGGGAGGGACCTGACCAAACCCTAAACACTGCCAGAGCAGGGAAGGGCCTGCTCTGCACTGTCAAAGTCCATCTGCCTGAAGCCATAGCCCTGCTGTTAAGTTTGACTGGGGGTCGGGGCGCCTGGAGCCTCAGCAGCCAAGGTCCTCACAGGTGTGCCCTATGGGCACAATGGACCCCAGTAACACCCGGACACCACAGCTCTGCCCTGCTTCCTGCTTGGCATCTCTCGTCGCAGGGAATGAATCTCTCAGTCCTCACCAGGACGGGATACGTGGAAGGCTGGAGTGCCCCCACTTGCCTTTGCTGCCACAGTACACCTCCGACCTGCTGCCATGGCTGGTCCGCTGCTTAGTGGACGCCTGGGCTCTTACAGTGAATCTGCCCCGACTCAATGTGACCTTCAGGGCCTTAGGCCTGCCACCCCAAATGATGCCATCAGCTCCCTGGGCATGGAGGGAGAAGTGATCGTGCCGGATGTGCCCAGGACTGAGGTTTGCAGGGCAGGTGAGCGGGATGGCACTTCCACCTGGGCACAGCCATCAGTGTGGGCTGAAGCCAGCCATGGACGGGCGGCCCAGAGAGGGACATGTGTTCCTCTCTACACGGACCATGAGGACGCAGCTCTGCTGCAGCCACACTGAGATTTAGGATCCTGCTGCTGGCTGAAGGCTGTGCATGGAGATGACAAAATGCTCCAACCAGCCCACCCCTACCTCTCAACAGGTGTTGTTTTTAATCATCATTCATGCAGCAACTGAAGGTTGTACCTTACTTTCCCTGGCTCTTAGAAAGTGACTTTATAAGCAGCACTTTCAAATTCTAGTTCATCAATCAATAAATCACAAAATTATTCCAAGTAGGTGAAGGTCACAGCTAATGGGAAAATGATCACCATGGAGGCTGGGATGACTGTAGGAAAATCACTTGTGTGGGGAGGGGGTGAGCTCTGAACTGAAAAGGAATGAAAAATCTCACATAGGGCTCTTGAGGTGCATTTCGCTCCTGGTTCATCTGTTACGTGACTCATTTCCTGCACCTCAAGGACAGATGGCTTGGAGGGCACAGTTGGCTGTGGTCACCAAGCCAGAGGCTCCTGCTCACTCAGGACAAGCCCCCCACTGCCTACCTGGGCACCCAGGATTGCCCCAGCCCAAAGCACTGCTGGTGGCAGGAGTGCCGGGAAAAAGCCCCTGCCCTGCAAGGAGGGGTGGGCTGAGAGTCTCCGTGCAAGGTGGGGGCCGGGGTGCAGAATGCTCTTCCATGCAGCAAAGACAGCGCTCCCCCTTCCTGGCTGAGCGGAGCGAGGAGTGACAGGAACTACCCAAGAGGAAAGGGAGTGGTGCAAGGCTGTCCCAAGGCCTCGCCCTTCCTGCTGGTTCATGGGCCCGACAGGTGGCCCCAGCCGAGGACAGGACTCACGTCCTCCCGTGGCTCTCAAACATCTGAGGAAGGGATAGCGTTAGGTACAGTTCTTTAAAAATATTTTCAAAATATATATTTTATTCCTTTCCCCCATGTATTTGGCAAAAATTTCAAGGTAGGCAGTTTCACATTCAGAAATACAGGCGAGTCCTTCAGGGACTGGCATTGAGTTCACCATAAGACTCCTCAGCTTCCAGAGATGGGCAGCAAGCCTGCATGTTACCTACGTAAGGCGCTGCAGTGCAGACCTTCCCTTCCAACAGTCGCTGTCACCTCACGCGAGGCCTGCGGCCTCACTCCAGCCAGTGCGGTGGCAGCTTGCAGTCCTGCAAGGAAGCCTCCCCCAGGCGCCCAGCGCCCTGTGCTGATCATGTCCACGGGTCACTTTAATGTTCCATCAAGGACACGCTGTCTCAGAGATGCATTTTATATAAATCTTATGATTTGTTAGATCATCAAATTTTTAACTGTGGTAAATGCCAAAATACCCCCCATCTTGCATTTTCTACATTTCTGCGCCTTCGTCGTCCTCATCATCTTTGGCTCTGAAATGCATTTTCCTGAATTCTCGCCTGCTCATTGAAGGACAAGACGAAGAGGCTGGTGGCAGGTCCTTAGAGGGGAAGAAAACAGGGACTTGAGTCTCAAGTGACACCATGGCGCACCTGCATCTGTAACGCACCCCGCTCAGCTCTGGGTCTTGCAGAGCAGAAAAGACCGGGCCTGAGCACCTGTCCCTCGGGGAGAAGGACGCTGGTTCAAAGCAAGAGACGGCAAGGTAAGCGTGGTAGGTGTTCCATGTCTGATCCGCTAACCCTGTAGAATGGAGCTCGCCACACCCTGAGGGCTGTGGATGCCCCCCACCCCAGCCTTCACACTGGCATCAAATGGCATTGATTCTCAGGTTGGGAGCTGGAGCCCTCAATGAGCAAAGACCCTAGCTTTCCTTGGGTTAAAGCTGCTAGTTTTTCTGAGACATGATTCACATGCAGAAGTGGGGAGAACGTAACTAAGGCACAGCAGCCTGAGCACCAACCGGCGGGAGGTCAGAGCCGCCCTCTTACCTGCATGAGCTCCACGTTCCCGAAGAACCGGCTCACGGGCAGGGGCTGATTGCTGTCGTCGTCTAGAAAGACGCTGTTGTCTGTCTGAAGCACTGCTGCCCGAGTCTCCCCTGTGGCTGACGCCAACTCGTCTGGCCCCCCAGAACCTCTGTCAGACTCCTCTGCCGCTGCACTGGTGCAGGGCTCTGGTGTGGACGGCCCACCTTCAGTCTTAGCAGGGACAGAGTCGCTTGCACTCTGGCAGCCGGCGTGGGAATGAGCTGCAGCCTCCTGGTGTGTAGGGACAGCAGTGTCACTGACCGGGAGCAACTTGTCATCCTCTGCAGGTGTGCTCTGACAAGGGGCCCTGGCTGCCACTTTTGGGAAAGCAGCCCTGTGGCCTCTGGAGGCTAGTTTCTGTAATTCTGCCTTCACAAGCTGGTCTCTGTCATATTTGAACTTCTTTGGAGTTCGCCTGTCTGGCGCCTTGTGTGACAAGGAAGTCTGCCAAGAGAGAAAATGTGAGGAAACCCACGCACCCCTAGCAGACACAAAGGCCTCCACGCAGAGGCTCCTGAGTCTCCTCCCACCTGAGACACCACAGCGTTGTCGTGCCTGCCAACGAGGAGCGGAGCCCAAGGTGACGCTGAGAACAGACCAGACACCAGCCCACGCTGTTCCCACACGTCCCGTGTCCCCGGGTAGGCGTGTACTTTCTAAAGATAAATGATAATAAAGGACTCCACTTTCACTCCCCCTGGACAGGAAGCAAGCACCACGAAGGCGAGAACCTTCGCTTTATTCACCAGGTAGAGCCTGCCACATCCCGCGTGCTCTGCAAATATTTGTTAAGGTGACTTCGCAGGGCGAGGCACTTTGCCAGTCTCTGGGATACAGCCGTGTCCTCGAGCCCTGACAGGCCTCCAGGAGGCAAAGCCTTGGGCATGAGTTCGGGGCAGGTACTTCTGGGAATGACAGCTGCACTGTGCTAAACAGCGGACCATATGAGGTCCTTTCCTGGCCCCTTTGACCCTTCTCTCACTCAGGGCCTTTCTCAAGGGTGAAGTAGTGAAGCAATGTATCCATGTCACTGGACAGGCCACCCTCCAAGTGGAACCATTAGCAACGTGCGTCTCAGAGCCTGGTGTCTGGATGATACACGTGCGCTCCGGTGGCAGACGCCAGAGAGCAGCCCCTGCCCTGTGGAGTGCACCTTCTCTGAGAGCTGGGACAGTTCTGTACACGTTCCTCTGAGATGGCCTCCCTAGTGTCTAAGCAACCTTTACATCTTTGAACACAACACATCTTGCGGTGACGGTTCTGGGTCCAGACTGTGGTGCCCTCCGTGGTACAAGGCTCACCAGGCATGCTGTCTTGGGGGGTGTGGAGCTGGCGACGTCCTGGACAGGGGCCACGATGTCTGCGGAGCAGTTTCGGGCTCGCAGGCGCGCTGAAGACCGAACTCCACCTGTGAGCTAGACCAGCGAGGCTTGGTCAGAGCACGTGCCCAAGGAAGCGCAGACGCCTCCAGCTCTGTCACCTGCGCGGAAGGACAGCCACCGCCCAGAAGTGCACGTCCAACGCAGCTCTGCCTGGTTTGGCAACAGGGTCTGTGCCCCACCATCCCGGGGGCTGAGATGATCTGTCCCCTTACCTTGGATGCTACAGGACATGAGGTCACTTCAGAGCGCCCAGTGTAGGCAGAACGCAGCCTTCCTCAAAGCCCGCACACTATGATGTGGGGTCACAGCCCCCCACAACAGGCAACAGGACGCAGCAAAGCCCGCCCACTTAGCCCTCCTCCCGAGTGACAGCCCTGACACACAGTTCAGAGCAAGCAGCTTCTGCCCAGTGATTCCTACTGTCATCACCCTGTCTACCTCTCTGGTACCCTGAATAAAGTCAGAACGTTTAAAATAACCTGCTTTAGGAATAATTTTAGGCTTGGAAAAGGAGCAAAAAATAGTACAGGGCAACACCAAGAGATTAGCATCAATGCAATACCAGCAACCCAACTACAGATTTTATTTGCATTTCATCAGTTTTTCCAGAAGTTCCTTTTTCCTGTTCCATAATCCAAGCTAGGATGCTGTACTGCACTTAGCTAATAATACATTTTAAAGCTCACCTTAAAACCCAAAAGTGAACAATAAGAAGTGATGAATAAAACCTAGGAGTGAAGGTGAACTGTAAGCCCAGAAAGTGCTGTCACAACAGGCCCTAGAACTGGGGATCCCGGAGGTGACAGCCACCCAGTGGCAGAGGAACCAAACAGAAAGGGAAAACCAGGCAGTTTAGAAAGCCTTAGGATGCCTCACCATCACACCCCACCCCACCCCACCTGAAAGCCCCCCAGGGAAGGAAGCACAGCTCCAGGCCCTGCTGCCCACAACAGGAGAGCACATTTGAAAAGGGCAGAGAGGAAGGACAAGGACACATCACTAAAAATTCTCAAAGTCAGGCTGGGCGTGGTGGCGCACACCTGTAATCCCAGCACTCAGGAGGCTGAGGCAGGAGAATCATCGCGAGTTCCAGACCAGCCTGGGCTACAAAGTGAGCTCAAGGCCAGCCTGAACTGCACAGGGAGATCCTGTCTCAAAAGACAAAAAAA